ACCTAAGAAACAGAAGTTAATGAGCTTACCCCCTAACTGCCTTGTCATGCGTCACAGTTGTTGTCCGTTCAAATAGAAGCGTTTATTTGAATTAGCTCTACTTTCGGAGATATCTAGGTTAAATATGTGTCAAATTATTTAATAGCTCATTTAAATGTAATAGTGAATTAGCTGCTGTACTTATTTTAACGTATCAAATTTAGTATAATGATAGGGTCACTTTTTCCTTGAAAGAAATTTCCTAATTTGAAGCATTTACATGCTTATTTTTATAATAGGTATCTAGGACACTATAATAATACACTTCATCATTCAAAGAACACTAGCGATATTTCTAGGGAAGGAAAGTACTCTTAGGTAGAGTACTTTGTGTTCGCTGAATTCCAAGAATCGCATATCCATGCATCGAGTTATGCGGAAAGGTAACCGAATCGTACAATCATTCATATAAAGTGATATATTTAAAATAAACAGTGTTACCACAACAAAGGTGTGGCGCCGATGTTACACAATTTCATATAGGTAGCGAAAGTGAAGCATTCGTAGAAAATCACAGCAAGTGCGTTTACCACAGATACGGCATAAGGCATAAGCAAGTAAGCTTTACTGAATGAATCTCAAAAATGAAACACCTAACATGAGTTTTTTCATTTCCCAAAACAATTTGTTACAATCAGGTATTGATTTCATCCACATGTAGCCATTCCGTGATTACTGCTGTTGAAATATATTGATATTGTAATTATCCAGCTTTAGTGTGCAAACTTTTTTGGTCATGTAGTTTCATCACTATGGTTTATTTGGCATTGTTCTGGACTCTCTGCAAGGTTCTTCGACTTTTCTTCCACAATAATATCTTGGTGAAAATGTCCTGAATAGTTAATGCTGTTTTACTTCCTACGTTACTGGAGAGAAAGTATAGTAGTCGCGAAAAATCATAGATTTCCCCGTATATTACACTCTCCCATGAGTGTAGTTCCATCACTGCCGCGCCACCAAGTCTGACGAAGGGATTCATCTAGGGATGTGGTGCGGGGGAGGGGTGACGTTGCCAGATGGACGGTACTATCGGTAGGGTGCGGAAATGATCTCTAAGGACTTATTGTAAGGGTCTGTTGACTGATTTGATCCATCAAATTTCTATGTTTTACATGTGCGGAGATAACTTTTTTTCTCAGAGGGTGTAACTTGTTCTGGACATGATCCTTCCTGAACCGATGACAGCCTTGCGTGGCAAGCGCATAGTCAATCTACTTAACCTCCTTTTTTTCTGATTCTATTTGAATGACATTTCATACTCAGATTGAATTTTGAAGTGAAAACATTTGTTGTATTGCTGGATCTGCCTAATAATGTGCTGCGCCACACCAATGTCGTATACCAGTTACACAGTTGGCGGGGCATAGTTCTGATGATGTGATTTATGTTTCCTTGAGTAGTTGGTTCTGACAAGCTGTTTGTGGAGGATGAGGTGAAGATTCCACTTTTCTTCCCATCATATCCCACACACGTTCATTGAGCGAAAGGTTGAGACTGATTGAGGTAGTCTATTGTAGATCTATCAATAGTGATAATATTCTAGAGTTCATTTTCATGCTTCTAGATGTTGCCAACTGATCGATGGAGCTACCGTCTTATCTTAATTCCATATCTTTTCATAACTTTTTGATGAATTCGCCCATTTATTCTTAAAAAAATGGATCTTTTACTTCTAACATCTAAAAATTCAAATTACATAAGGAAAAATATCCAATAATTACATTCCTAGTGTTTATGTTAATGTAAGTGACGCTACGTTACTGTCATTCTGAGAGGACCAAACCTGTCACTCGTTATCACTTGTTTCTTTACTTTTACGGCGCTGGAAAACAGTTGCTATTTGACATAATATTTCGATAAGGATGTAATAAAATATGATAGTAAAGTCATCTTCGAACTTAATTCATCGGTGTGTCGAAACCACTAAAGAAATGCAGAAATAATCGTCCTACAAGTTGTCTCGTTGGCGATGTCATGACAAAAACGCATAATAATCACGCAAAAACTAATCTGACATCGACCTTTCACATTGCACATTCTGCAAGTGGTATGTTTCTTCGGTTGATCGGTTGATGAACCAATCGAGATTCACTCACTTCCTCTCGAAGGCTAATCGATTGCGGATAGAACGTATGCAAAACTAATAGCACAGGCACTCGATAATGTCAGCGTCAACATTTGTTGTGTTGCGGATATACCTAGGTATGTATTCATAACAAACTGAAATCTAAAAAAAAAATACAATTTCGCAACGTATCTGCCGCTCTTAGAGCCGATTCACGGATGAGAATTACCTAAAAAATTACGTTAGTAATTATTCCAGCAATTTCCATGGCACATAATGTAAAATCAGTAAGTAGTAAATGTACAAAAACAGAAATCTAAGATGCCATATAAAATAGCCCTATCAGTAAGGGCTACTAAAGTTTTTTTTTGTTAGCTGCAGATAACTGGTAAATGAGATTGACTCAAATCCCATTTTCACTACTCACAGAGATCCTCATTAAAAAATCTGAAATTTAACGCCTTGAATGACATTTGAAAGCAATGGCAATTATCAAGGTTACGTGTATTCAAAATATTGCATATATGTTATATATAGGTGTAGGTTGTAGAAAAGATGTTTCACATTTTTATGGCGAAAATAGTCACTGGGATTCTGTCACGTGTCAAAGCGATAGCTAAAACTTCCAGTATAATCACGACAGCAAATTTTGCAGTAATTATAGTCCGTGTAAAATGGATCTTACACAAAAGTGTGGTTCAGAAATCAAGTAGCAGATTACATAAATAAGAATACAGCCTTCATGTATAAGTGTAAGAGCCAATTCGCTTCACGTGTTATATCCAAATTGATATAATCCATATTGATATAACACATGATATTAAATGAAAATGTATATGAACATCTGCGTCGAAGTCTTCATCGGAGCTAGAAATAATTCTAACGCTCCGCAAGAGATTTATTCGTAGCTCCAATGAGCCTTAAGGCACCTATTTTTGAATCGAACGGATAGTAATGAAATCAGATACATATAAGAATAATGTCATACAAAAACTAGGATAGGTTATCCAGGCTTTAGGTCCCACTTTGCGGTCTTTTTTACGCCCTGGGCAGTAAATCACCTTTAACTCCCACTAAGTTCAATTGTTATATGGTTTATGACAACTGTCCAATATTTATATTTTAAGTTAATCAGCAACTACCGATACCGAGGGACCGGCGATATAGTACAGTCAATTTATTCATCCTTATATCCACTTAAAGCCTACTCCAGAATTTTTTGCCGTTCATCCGGCCGCAGATAAAATGTATATTATATGTATCCAGGCTATCAATAATAAACTATTAGTCAGCATGCGTTGTGAATTTTGTTGGCAGGCACCTTTGACTTTCCAGAAGACGTGCTGTGAACATTAAGCAAAAGTCAATCGCAAAAACACCCTTAAAATCAGAAACTTCTCTTCTGATGGGAATGAATGTCTTTACTTAAGCCCCACCTCCGAGAAATCTGTCCACGCATTCGTAACACCTATTAATATGATTTTTTACCCAAGTCTATAATCCCTGTCCTATAAAGTCATCAAGGCGCATTACAAATGGCAACGGATTTACACGATTGCGACACGGTCCGCGAATAAGTTTGGGTGCAGTTGTACTGATTTTTTCTAATTTTGCTAAAATGGGCACAATACCACTATGTTAGTGATCTACACGTATGCTCACGGCAGGTTATTACTTACAAATGTCACATTTATGAGTTATGCGTCCGACGTTATCCTCATAAAATCGTTACCCGTTAAACTAGGCTACAAGCAATAACCATACAACAGCACATTAGCTTAAATATACATACAATTATTTTTCATAATTAACTTAATACAATGCTTTTTTTATTAACTCAAAGCGGATTAATTAATCATAATTTTTATAAGAATAGTGATTATGTTAGTACGATATTACATGCCAGCAGAAACCTCGACATTTGAATCTGGATTTTGAAGTAATGACAGTGAACTTATATACGAATAAGTAAGCCATTGGAGTAAAACTTATTATACGGAGTATCAGTGTGCGAATTTTGCGTTCAGAAACACATACACGATATCGTTTTTTGACTTTGTTCGGAGTTTTTTCATTTTATCACTATTTCAGTTAGTACAAAAATTGTGTGATTAAACATATTGGAAGTTTTGTGTTTTGAGTATTGTTATGAAGTTAAGCGAGTTTTCTCCCTCTGCAAAAAGTTTACTTAACACATGGCATGTTTTGTTGCATACTTAATATTTGAACTAGCTTTACATACAGCCTTGGGCATTCGAATAAGGCAAAACATTGGTCTAAAAAGTTCTTCTGTGGTGAATGATGAATTGTTCCCAGTAGCATGAAACCTGACATCACCGGAAGTCAGTAATTGCTTATTTTTTAAAAATCTAGATATTCCAGCTTCAAATATAAACATTGTCATGAGTTATATGGCAACAACAAAGAATTTTGGAACAAGATACTCATCACCTTATTTGTCTAAAGCTGTATATGTAGCTTGTCGAATCTGTATCCCTAACATGTGATGGGATCTCAGAGTATTCGTTTATGTAGTAGAATAGTTTATTCCAATTTTTCACCAATGCAACTGATCTGCCTGACACCAAATTAGTACACAAATTCCAATAAATCTCCGACCCAAGGCGTACGCCATTACGTAACACAATACAACACGCGGCCAACATCGCGTCGGTCTGGCAAAGAATAACCCGGCGTGTGGTGCCCATACTCGACATATACAACATACACGGTAAAAGTAAACCTATGACAAAATCATACCCGGCATCCGAACGTGTGCTGATGTTTGATCTAGTTTAGCGATATCACACCGCAGATTTAAAAAATACCTGCTCTTACCCTTCCACGGTTGGTTCGTATAAAAGCAATGCCCAACCAACCGAATCCACCACACATCATTTGTTTATTCAAACGTGCAACATCCACTTGCAAATATGAAATTCTTGGTGAGTACCTTCTGCCCTATTTTGCGTCCGGTTTCTGAAAAATCTTGTGTTCATGGTGAAAAAATTGGATATGAAAATTTGGAAAACAACTGAAAAACTCGGAAATAATTTGAAGACTTAGACATTTTGAAAAAAATGTATTGATTTTAGTATTTTCGAAATTTGAAAAAATGGAAGTAAATTTAGATTAATTGTCAAATTTATAGTATACCAAAAATTGAAGCTCTTCATTATAAGTATTTTTGTTGTCCTTTTGAGACTAAGAATTGAGAAAATGAATTATAGTTTTAAAAAACTAGAAATAAACATGCTTTAATAGCAATCGAAGGTCCAACAATCAAGTATAACTATTTCTATTGAAATAAGATCAGTATAAGTTAACAAAAAGGTTCAATTATAATAAAAAAAGCTTGGGGTGCAAGTAACTATATTTTCAAATTAACTCCGACTTTGTGAATAGCACCTAAAAAAATAATTTTAATATTTAATATCATGCACCTCACGCTTCTTACTAGAATTGCATTTTTTTAAATATCTCAATTTTTATATATTGTTCTTATTCCAAATTCCATACTTGATTGTTGGAATTTCTATTGAAATAACGGAAACTCTCCTGTACTTGAAAATTATGTTATACTTATTAGTTCGATCTACCAATAAAGCGTGTTTTTTTTTAGTTTTTTTAAACTGTAATTTATCTAGCGTCTCTATCACCTCGTGACTAGGTAACCACAAAATAGGAGTGACTAATTTGCGTTCTGCGTTTGAAAAACTCCGTATTAATGGTGTTGTTATTAACAAGATGTAAAGAATATCTCTTAACTTGGCATATTTTTTGAAATTCATGTCCTACTATACTTCGGTGGAAGAGACAACTTTGAAAATCTCGAACTCCGTCTCCTCATCGACTTACTCCTATGAATGTTAAAGAACAATACCTGTTTCTTAAATAATAGACATTGCTATGCTATTGATAAATAACATTGTTAAGTGACATAGACAATGCTTAGGATTCCAGTATTCCATTCCTGCAATTGGGTATAGTTTCTAGAATCTAACTAAATTAGAGTATATTATTTAACGTAATGAAAGTGTCCCATATTCAATCTGTCACTAAAAGTATTTTTATGGGGGGGGGGTATTGTTCAAAAACAGAGAAAAAAACTTTAAAATTCGATCATGATGATCGGTTTGTATATGTTAATCTGTCAAAAATCAATCTCACAAAAATGTTTCTAGCTAAATTGTATTAAATCTTATAAACGACCTCCGATACGTATATGACAAAACAGCAATAAATTTTGAACGTATAAACATACTATGCTTTTCTAAAATTTTCTAGAAAAGGCAACAAAAGCTAGAATGCCCTTAGCTTTGTCAGTACATGTGATCAACCGACATTTGTACTTTAGAAACAAATTGCTCCATACATTTATTCGGACAAAAAAGTGTTTCCTAATTGTTTTGGTATCTACTTGTGGCTCATTTGTATGAGGTAACCAAAAAGAATGCGACAGTTTTCTTGAGAAATATGTAGAAATTCTGTAAAAAATATTTGGTGTCTATCTGAATTCCTTTATACTGATGTCGAAATGAATAAGAACAAATGAAACGGCAACAATTATTAGGTGAAATATAGATTTCATAACATTACCTCGATTAAGATGTGATCGTATGTCGGAAAATCTTTTTTCTTTGAATCTAGTGAGTTTCCCAATAGCCCCAATAACCCATACGCAATCATTAGTAGAAAGTATAAAATGTTTAGTTATATTTACTTCCAATATAATGTAAATGCGATAAAAAACCTAAAAGAACTTGCGTGACTAGAAAACAAAAGGTCCTCGACTCTTTAGTACTAAAGGTATCATATATGGTATATCTGAAACTCAAAAAAATTAGAGGTCCAAAAGTAACTTAAACGATAGATGACTGAAATACAATATGCAACTTGATCTAAGTTTTTTAGAAATAGCATGTTTTATTGTACTGCCACAGAACAACAAGCATTCTATTTCACGGGCTACAGGCCAAAAGGCTTGATAGATTCTGATATCTGAAGTATTGTAGGATTCGACTTAGCAGAACGAGTAACACTAGCTATACTAAAATATTATAAGAACAAAATGGCGGATATTAATTAAGAAAATGAAACATTCAATTCTATATCACAGCCTACAGCTTAAACGGTTTGATGGATTTTGACATATGACATGTAAATTCATTTTAGCATAACGAGTAGTTAGAGCTTAAATAAATCGATAGATTTTGACAGGGTCTTATGTCACTGGGTATACAAAAAAATTCGTACAATCAAAATAGCGGAATTTCAAGTTTAACCTCCAAATTTATATTTTACGGGCTACAGCCCAAACGGCCAACGGCCTGTTGAACTTTGATGTATCCTTAGATTCGTCTTAATCGGTTTCAGAAGTCATTATTTTCAGTTAAGGCAATTCGGGCTTGTATTTTTTAGAAAGCAATATTGACATATTTGAACTTTCATTATCTTCAAAAATTTAAATAGACTTTTTCAAATATTTTACAATATTTTCTTATCGAATTAAATCTAACAACTTCAGTATGGTTGTTTCTTACAAAAATCGTGGGATATGTCACTGAGGGCTTTCTGTCAGACTTAAATCTGATAGGTTATTTCGTATGGAACGGTCTAGAGTAACTGATGTAACTCAACAAGAAACAACCTCAGTGTATTTGCAATGGTTGATCGATCTATGAGGACGCAGTTATTTTGGACAGTTTTTCTAGGAAGTTTCACATGTGTTCTTTGCTGATGAAATTTGTTATCTTGAGACTTGTCAGCTCTTTGAAAATATCGAGAGATTAAACCATTGAATTTTTAATTTGAGTTATTATGCGAACTCTGAAGTGAACATTGAATAAATCTCTATCAGTTATCGGATAAAAGCAACAAGACGCATAGTTTTGCAACCATCAGATAATTGACTGTCTCGAAAAATTATCAGAAAGATGTTAAATACACAAAATTCAAGTTTGGGAGCAATATAAAAGCTTCTCGCTCATAACACATCACACCATACTCTTTCTCGGATTTTATCAAAATCGGTGCAGCCGTTTCGGAGATACCGAAGGGTGGATTAGAAGTACAGAAATGAATGACACATTTTTGTGATTTGGACTTGTCTTCTTAAATTCGGTTTTCTTGTTATCATACTTATCTCGCTTATGCGCGGGAGGTAAGAGTCAATTATTTTAATTGGAATATACAATTTTAGATATTCCTTGCCACCTCCATGGCCATAGCTGCAGCTGCCAAAGAACCATCCAAGGAGAAAAAACAAGAAAAACGTGGCATCTACGGCCTAGGTGACCTTGGTCATGCACCTCTAGCCCTAGAAGCACCGGTACTGCCATCTCCAGTCTACAAATCATACGCGGCACCTGCTTTGGCCCTTCCAGCACCCGTCTACAAGTCGTACGCGGCACCTGCTTTGGCTCTTCCAGCACCCGCCTACAAGTCGTACTCATTACCAGCACCAGTGATCAAGAGCTATGCTGCCCCAGCTTATTCTCTACCCGCCCCAGTGTACAAGTCCTATGCTGCGCCCGCCATTTCGTATTCGGCTCCTATTTTGAAGTCATATGCCGCCCCGTACCATCTGCCAGCTGAACCCCTACATCTTCCTGCTGCGCCCCTGATCCACTCTGCCCCCTTGGTGCACGCTGCACCAGCTGTTTTGCCTGCATCTTTCTACAAGAGCTACGCTGCTCCTGCATTCCACGCGCCACTGGATTATTCTCTAGACTACGGAAAATACTACCACTAGTGATATGTGTTTATTTGAATGAGTGATATTTACGTTATAAATAAATAATTGTTTGTACCAGGTTTTACAGTAAATTTTGAGTTTTTGAAATGTTGCTTCAACTGTATATGTCACTTTGCTAATTACCTATACGGCGTAATCGATGTTCATTGCATACACAACATACATAGGTCGTTCTTATAAGTACTACTCGATGACTGATACTAGAATGAGTCAGCAGATCTGTGAAATATTCAAGTACTATAAGTTGTGTTTAGACTTGCGGAATTGATGTTGGTACCAGCATACCAAAACTTTAGATAACCACGCTACTGGTGAGGAACAAGTACAAAGGGTACAATAAAAGTTTTGCAATATTACTTAACAAACGGATGCAGGAGGCTGCATGTTGAGAGATGTCCATGAGTGCATAGTAGCTGCCAGCAGCACGTCTGTCGAGTTGTTCATTCGTATTAAAACGTAGTGAGATAAGGGCAGTTTTACGGTATAACTTTACGCGTGGTTTAAGCATAGACCAGTGCTTAGAAGCAATGAGGCTTGCATTAAAGAATGATTGTCCTCATCGTACGGCTTTACGGGGTGTTTCAGAGCTGAGGGATCAAACTTCTAGGGGTTATTCAATGTAACAGTAGAAAACATTTGAGTATAGGGATCCATATCCGGAAAAGTACTACGGTACTACGGACCTAAGACGCGTTAAAATTTAGAAAGACGTTGAACTGCCTAAATAGGATTTAATACATTTAATTTTTGCCTTTTGTACATGATATCATCATAACCATTGTTCAAAACGTCTTCCTCCAACCTGAATACATCGATTTAAACGTCGCACATGACTAAAAATGTGATACTCGTTTTGAATGATTTTAAATGTTGCTGTAATTCGTCGTTAAGTCTTGCTCTGTTTCTACTGGAGTTTCGTAAACCAAAGATTTTACAGGCCAAGAAACTGCTCCACCTCTGGCAATCCAACGGTGCCCAAACGGCTGAGCCAAATACTCACGTACTTGTACAGCAAAGTGAGCCGGCGCTCCATCATGCTGAACTCACATTTGCTGTCGAACGTTCAATGGAACGTTTTCAAGAAGTTCTGGAAGAACTTCCTCCAAGAAACACCGGTAAATAGGTCCTGTTAACCGTTCCGGTAGGAGGTATGGCCCAATCAAATAATCATCAACAATGCCTGCCCATACGTTGACAGACCAACGTTGCTGATGTTTTCTAGAAAAAATTGCATGGGGATTTCTTTGTCCCAAACGTGGCTACTCCTACTATTAAAAATACCGTTCCTTGTGAAAGAGGCTTCATCGGTCCATAAAACATAGCGTGAAAAATTTGGTTGTGCAGCGATTTGATGAAGAAGCCACTGACAAAATTGAACTCTATGATAATAGGCTGCAGTCAATCCTTGAACTTTCTGGAAGTGGTAAGAATAAAGTTGTTGCTCATGTAGCACCCACCAGACGGAAGCGTTACTCGTAGTCATATCCTCAGCAACGTGACGTGTGTTACTTGATGGTTCGTCAACAACTCGCTGAAGGACCTCTTCTTCAAATTCGACCGTTCTTACGGTTGGAGCAACACCAGTATCATGCATATTGGTTTTAAACATGCCTGCCTCGGAGAGCCGCCGATGAATAGCAATAAACTTTTTGTATCCCGGATGCTGTCGTTTGGGATAACGTTCTTGGTACAAGCGCGCTGCTGCTCGTGCACTGCAGCTTGTTGCTCCGTATGCCAAATGCATATCCGCCAATTGTTGATTGGTAAAGTCTTCCATTAGCAACAATTTGGGACCTCGGTTGGCCGTTTGGGACCTCGGTTGGCCGCGTTGGTCAGAGTGTCGTGCTACTGATCAGCCGGCCGGCCGGGCCGCGAGTTCGAATCTCGCCTTCGAAATGGATGTTGTGTGTTTGTTTTAGGCAGCAGCGGTGGCCGCAGTAGTAGACTCTTCGGTCTCCTGATCAGCCGCCGTGCGCTGTGCGGGTTCGAGTCCCGTCCCAGGAGAAATGTTTCTCTTGGCCATGGATGTTGTGATTGTCCGTAGGTGGTAGATGGTCTCTGACTGTCGAACGCGGAGGTACCACCCGGCGGTTCTCGTAGGCGGAGCCAGAATGTGTGCATGTTGCATGCACACGTGTTCCCTCGCCAGAGTCCGTGTGGCGTCCCCCCTTTCCCATGTATCCCCCATAGCCCCACGGTACCCAATGGGTGCTTAGGCCTTAGGCCTTCGTGGTAGTTGGAGTATAAAAAAAAAAAAAAAAAAAAAAAAAAAAAAAAAAAAAAAAACAATTAATTTTTGTTAAATGCTTGCAAACTTCACAAATACGATAGCACGGCTAAGACGATATGGAATGCAGCTACAAAAAACAATCTCTGAATCTCTGAAAGAAACTGAGGCTAAAAGGAAAACGGTTTTCTAGCGATAAGGACCTTCTGAGGACTTGGGACCACGAGTGTGCCGCACTTCCGCGTGAAACTTGGTAGAGCTGGTTCAAGAACTGGTTTTGGCGGATGGAGAAGTGTATTGAATGTGGTGGAAATTACTTCGAACGAAGTCAATAAATAAAGCTGTATTGCAAAACTTTTATAGCACAATTTTACTTCACAAAAGACTATGTCACTTATTTCCGTCGGTCTGTCGACCTAAGATTTGTGTGTCTGTGAGCTGTTAAGGTTACGTCTTTGCCAACGACGAAAAGTCTTTGTAGCTTTCAGTGGCAGAGGAAAAGACGAAGGGATTACAAATCACTGAACTTTACATTCTAGAGGATTCTGACCATTTTTAGAAAAAAGTTGTAATGGTTGGAAATTGGGAGGTTGTAGGTGGTGGGGAAGGGTGAATCTTATTTTTTGGCATTGAATTACTAACACGCTTCCAGCCAAAGTTTTTATTGTATTATATATTCCCCTATTAAACAGATTCCACACATCACACTGGCGCTTTTGAGTTGTAGTATCATATTGGTATGATATGATGTGGTGAATTAGATAGTTTCTTCCCACGGGCTCTTGAATATACCTGCGTCGGGGTCTGACCGATATCTGATAGATGGGTAGCTGGTGAGTGGCGACGTTAATCATAGCAATGTTACCAGATCGTCGGTAGTATCGGTCGGACAAGAGAGACATTTCTAGATCGCAAGGTTGTCAAATCTTCGAGGACTATGGACTAATTGTATAGGCCCGTTTGACTGATTCGAACCATTTATTTTTTTTGTTATACATGTTCATAGCTAACTTTTTTGCTTGTGCCGAATATAATGCTTTATGAACAGATCCATGAATACTACTTGTATATTCTAACGTGAAGGTGGCAAAAATTTGAAGATGGCAGTCCGGCGCCTTCTTAAAACTTGTTTTTGAATGGGTTAGGGGAACATGCTTACCTCATTTACATGCTCCTTATGAGAACTATATAGCCCTAGGATATAAAATCACTATCACTATCCTTCAAAATGGCGGACTGGAAGCCTGTTAGTGTTGGGCGTCTTATAGATTGAGCAGTGATCTTCTTCTCTTGGACGCATCTGTTCGAATATGTAATACAGTACTTAATAGAACGACAGTCTGTAGCAATTTTTTTAAACTGTATATTTTATTGCAGATTCAGTTAGATACTTTCATAAAAAAAGATTGAGATAACAAACTATAACGTTCTGATAATTAGCTGTTGAGTTATAAGCTACTTAATGTACAAGAATGCTCAATCTACCATTTTGAAGGATAGGCATAGCATCAAAATCAGGCGTCACGTGTTTCTCATTCTGCTTTAAGGTACACACTTGGAATTTTCAACTGTTAGATACTTTTCTGTTAAAATATAGTATTTATGCATCAATTCCATCATCTTGGATTTCAGCTTGCTAACTTGACTTGTTAAAAAAATAAGTAGGGGGGGGGCTTTCTGAAAAGCACTGGTCATTTTTATAGTTTCCTCCATATGCACACTGTGGTCATGTTAAAGGCTTTTTCGGAAGCTGCATCACATTAAACTTATTTGAAACATAAGGATCAGTATCATCAATGATATGTGCGGCTCAAGAATAAAGCCCGATTTACAAACTCGACGTTCGTCGTTGGTCGTTCGCGTTTCATTTGGCGTTCAAGTAAAGATTTAGGCAATCTATATAACCATGTATAAACTTTTGTCCTTCGTCGACGCCGTTGGCGTTGGTCGTTCGACTTGGCCAAGTTTCAACTTTTGCATTTCAGTTAGTCAGACTTTTTCGAAAAATCTCGCACAAATACTAGTTGTGACAATCACAAATTCATGGCAAATGACAGTTACAGTTGGGAGTTAGTAAATTGCTACTGAACTGCAACTACTAACTGTAACATCCAACTACAACGGCGCGTTTATAAATGGGCCTAAGGCTTTCCTTTGACATTTTTGAACTTAACCTTTTCTTCTTTCAATGAAAAATAAATATGGTATTTTTCTTAAACAGTGACCCCTCGATTAAGGCTGTTTACTACGCCTATACTAGTCAGGAAAGAGCATGTAAAATATAATTTTGAACATTTTCATCTTTGAATAGTTGACTGTGCACCAATTTATCGGAAAACTGGAGAAGATAAAAAATGATGGCATGTTTGGATGCGACCAAAAGTTGTTAATGTTTCGCCCACATTTCTGCTGATAATACCCGATATGTAAAATCATAATTCATAGATGCTATTTTAGATAGTTAATGTTTGTATTTGAACCGGATTCCGCCACCTATCGTTCGTCCACTGTGTTAACTAATCTCTGAAATCACATTTGTAAGTATCTAGAAGTCTAGAGGAATTCTGATTGCGCTCTTGCCTTACATTTGTATAAAATGTATGCGGATATGTTGTTGTCAATAAAAAAATGACACAGATTAATCGTATCGTAAAAAACTACCCACAAAACGTCCTTTTAAGGATTTGCTAAAGGATTAATTGCCAAACACCGTGTTGAAACGGTTTCAGTAAAAGAAATTTGTTACTTATTACGGTTTGCTAGACAATCATTACTATTACGCTTGCTTCAACATTTTGCCGTAAAATTCGCAATCACTCATTTAATTAT